ATACAAAGTGTACAGTGTTCACTTTATATTATTATTTTTATTACAAATATTTGCACTTGTAAAAATGACAGACAAAAAATAGTGTTTTTCAATTCACCTCATACAAGTACTGTAGTGCAATTTCTTTATTGTGAAAGTGCAACTTACAAACAGATTTTTTTTGTTTGTTACATAACTGCACTCAAAAACAAAACGATGTAAAACTTTAAGGCTACAAATCCACTCAGTCCTACTTCTTGTTCAGCCAATCACTCAGACAAACAAGTTTGATGCCAACGCCTGTTCTCACTTTCGGGTGACATTGTAAACAAGAAGTGGGCAGCATTACCTCCTGCAAATGTAAACAAACTTATTTGTCTGAGTGATTGGCTGAACAAGAAATAGGACTGAGTGGACTTGTAGGCACTAAAGTTTTACATTGTTTTATATTTGAGTGCAGTTATTTTTTGAACATAATTCTACATTTGTAAGTTCAACTTTCATGATAAAGAGATTGCTCTACAGTATTCATATGAGGTGAATTGAAAAATGCTATTTCTTTTGTTATTGACAATGCAAATATTTGTAATAAAATATAAAGTGAGCACTATACTCTTTGTATTCTGTGTTGTATTGAAATCAATATATTTGAAAATGTAGAAAACTTCCAAAAATATTTAAATAAATGGTATTCTATTATTGTTTAACAGTGCGATTAATCATGTGATTAATCACAATTATTTTTTAATCGTGTGATTAATTTTTAATTGCTTGACAGCCCTACTTTTTTACTTTATTTTTTTTTATGTAAACCCATCTTTTTATCCTTTCAATTTATAGTAAAACAAATTCTGATCTCCTTCCCCTTCCTCATTCTCTCCTTCTCCACGGTCATTTCCTCCCTCTCCCCAGCAGCCCCACCTTTTTATTTATTTTAAGAATTTGGGGCTTTTTTGCTTTCCTGACGGTGTTTTTAATGCTGATGTATGTTTCAACTGCCTTTATAGGGAGAAAGCAAAGAGGAAGAGAACTTTTGCATTGTGGATCCCAGCATCATTGAAGACCACTCTGCATCTCCAGCACCAATAAATGATATTCATTCATCAATAATGCTCGAGGCACCACAGGTATTTGGCTGCTGTTTCGTTCTATTTAAAAGAGATAAGAAGGAAATGAGTTTCTAAAAGCCCCCTTTCACCTCCCAAAAACAAGTGTCCTTCAGAAGAGATGTCAATCCAAGGTTCATTCTGACTGGTGGGAAAATGTGAGTCTGGGATGAGCCTTGTATTCTGGTAAACAATCCCTCTCTAAAACAAATCCCAAGATTCAAGGCTTTTTGTGAGCAAATGCAGAATGTGTATGTGACACCTTGTTTACAGAGATACTGAGCTACCTTATTTACTAACCCGTTGCATTAAGATGCATTGTCTTACCTTGTATATGAAAGGTGATATGAAGTAAGAATGTTAGATCTACTGCTAATGAAGTAAGACTGTTAGATCTACTGCTAATAACAATCAATTATTGATTCAAGAAAAAAGAATGGTATGTAAGCAGGATTTCTTTAGAAAAAGGCAGTCTGTTGTCCTAGGGTTGGGGTGCTAGCCTAGGATCTGGGAGTCCCAGCTCTGCCACAGACTTCAGAGACATGAGGGGCTGGAGTTTGATACCTTCACTTTGATACAGAAGCACCTTACTTCATATTTTGACTTCAGTGGGCTTCTCATGGAGTAATATACTACTTAATAGCAGTAAAGGTATTGGAATCTGGCCCTAGAATGTCAAATTCTCCTGTAACATGTCTCTAGCTGTAACTGCTTGTAATGAACCTAGTGTGTGTAAAATAGTTTTTGTTTGTTTGTTTGTTTGTTTGTTTTTAAACCCCCCCCCCCACCAAAACTGGTCTGTCACTCACCAGTGTTAGTTATTGCCTCAGCCCACCAATTTGCCTAATCACTATTGTGTCAAGTTGGCACTTCAAAGAAAGCAGCTCTAAAAAGGGTAATGGCAGGCACCCTTTCTTGGATTAGTATTTCAGCTGTGAGATGAGTGGATTGATCTGACTGTGGAGGGTGAGATGTTGACCTTTTAATTAAAGGATTGTGTGGAATAAGCAAGGGATGCCTTCCTGTTTAAACTGATGATGATGGGGATAATGTACATGTTTGCATAGCGGGATGGCAGATAAATCCTCAGAATGTTTTGTTAGATTTATTTAGGCTTTTCCCTGCAGCTCTTAAAAAATACTGTCTAACAATTCCCGTTCCCCAGCTTCCACCCAGACTTGCTTTTTCCTATAGTTCCAGGAATAGCTGAGCAGCTCCCAACTTTCCTTTTTTTTATTGTTTTTAAAAAGTCATATCTATATTCATAAAAATGGTAAATCAGGGCAAGTTTCAACGTTCCAGTTTAGCTGCTTCTACTAAAACATAAAAGTTAACGGATACTCATTTAAAAAACAGAACGGTGGTTGTAATTTTAAAATGTGCCTGACATAAAACACAACTGTAAGAGAGCTTGCAGGAAACATGATGTCAAATCTATACTCTGTAATGTTTTATGCAGGGTTTTAGAGATGAAACATTCTTTCAAGAAGAACTTGTCGATGAACCACTTCTGGATTTGGGAAGGCCATTTCAGCTAGCTCAGAATGAAACCGAACATAAGGAGTCCTGGGAAATGCATGAATTCCTTAAGGCTAAAATGGAGGAAATGGGTGAAGAGCGGGAAATGTTAGTGGATGAAGAGTATGATGTGGACCCGGATTATTTTACATATGCCTCATCACATGTAAAGGACACAACTCCACCTGCTGGGAAGAACCTGGTTTCTATTGGAGAATGGGCGAAGCAACTTGAGCCAACTAAAACACCAGATTTAAGATCCCTTATTAGCACAAATGCTAAGCAGTACCCACATTACCTGTATGATGATGAAGAAACGGTAAGAAATGTTACCCAAGGTTTCAATCCTGCATCAGGATCAGCTAGTATGGCTCCCTTGTAACTATACAGAGTGCTAGTGAAGTTGGTAGGAGACCAGCTAGCAGATACTGATGCAGGATTTGGACCTGTTTTCTATCATGATTTTTATACTCTTGTTTTTTATGGTTAGGTGGATTTTGACATAATTTAGACAAGATCTCTCAGTACATCGAGTAGATACCAGTGGACATTATTCTCTTGCACATAACACATTCTTAAAATCCCAAAACTAAAATGTATTTCCTTGCTGAATTTTGATCGCCATTTGGCAAATAATTTGCTATGTTGTTAACGCTGCAGAACTAATGATGGCTCCCTTTGTGACCCTTCTGTCTGCATCTTTAATATAACTTGGCAGGTGTGTCTTCCATCATCTCTTATTGGCGCACAGGGAGATTCAAAGCTCTCTTTGCCGTCTTCTAACTTCTGTCTCTTGTTTTTCTGCAGTGCTGCAGCACGTCAGTGAAACTGACTGTCATCCTGATCTCTTATCGCACCAGTGCAGAATGTCTTGAGGGCTGCCTGTGCTGCATTGTTAGCTCAAGCTATAACTCGAGCGTTGCCCCTAACCCAGCTGCTGTTCATGCACACACATCTCTAGCTCGAGTTCAGTGGTGCTTTAAATTCAAGCTTGCCAGCCTGTCGGGGCCATGGGTTGAGGCTCGCGTACCGCTGATGCTGGAGCTAGTAGAGCAGTGGGGACTACTATGTGCTGCTAATCCAATCCCTCTGTGCGGCTCAATTATTTTGCAGTGGAACTGCTGTTACTTAAGCTACTCTAGCTCGAGAGAAGATAACTGATAACTTGAGCTAATGCGGAAATGAAGACAAGCCTTAGAGATCTGGATGTTTGTCAGTTCCACTGAGGGCAGCTGATCTGTAAGACACTGAGTGGAGCAGTACATCAGGAAATGATGAGGGGAAAGAGATTGTGACAGACAGATAATACTGGGGAGGGGAGAGGAGGGAGGGAGACCGCATAAGGCTCAATGTGTGAATGAAAATTTTGCATCCTCTATTTACTCTGAGAATTTCTTTCCCCTCTGAGTTCGCTTTCTGTTCCTGCATCCCCCAGAAAAGAAAGTGATTAAACTGGTTTTCTGTGCACCTAGTTTGCCAATGCAAATCAATTTTACCCTCAGTTTCCAGATGAAGAAATTGAGGCAGAAATGTTAAGTGACTTGTTTAGGGCCACAGAGCTTTTAGCGGGGAATACAAGGTCAGGTCTTTCATCTCGTGTAGTCCTGTGCTCTCTATATAAAGATGCCAAAATGCAGCTTCTGGTGAATGTGATATTGATCTAAAACTGTTGTTATTCCACATAAGTGTCAGGTGAAAAACCTCTTGCTTCCTCTCTGGGTTGCAAAACAGGTAGATAGTATGAAGTTCATTTTATATTTTAATCACACCTGACATTGTTCACGCTCATTGATGTTGCCTAAATGAGCAATTAATTTCATAATTATCCAAAAAAAATTAAAGCAAGTTACGAAAATGTGAATGTTTGCTGTAAAATCAATGTTTGTCAAATACTGCTATATGGGGCAATACCAATGCTGTCTAATTTTTAACATCTCTTTTCTCCCCCATGAAGTATGAAGCCACAGTGGAGAACAACTGCCAAACAGCCACATTTGATGATATTGAAATGACTGAGTCAGTAGCAAAAAGCAAACTGGATTTAGGTTTGTAAAAGGCTTTTTTTTTTTAATGCATTAATCTTATTTACAAAATTAACTTTCATTTTGCAATACAGTTTTGTTCATATCTTTCAAACAAGGTAGTATCCACAGTATGAATCATACTCACTTAAGACGATGGTTTGGCTTTGATGCCTTCCTTAAAAAGGACCTCCTCCAACTTCAAAATCCCATGTGTCTCTGAAAATATTTACCTACTTATTGTTACAAGTAACACTTAGTGACTGTAGCTGAAAGAGACCAGAGAAAATAATGCTATGTTTCTCAATTGTTGTTTTTAGCATGTTTGCTGTGTGCATTTGACTCTTGTGTTGTCAGTTTCCCCTATATAGTAAGGATTCCATTGGAACTACTTATACTCCGTAAGTGTTTGCAGGATTGGGCCCTAAATCAGTTTCCATTGTTGGTTGTGAAGGACCTTCACTACTACTTTTTTTTTTTTTTTAAATTGATGGTAGAACCTCAAAAATGAAGCAAATTTTACTGCAAGTAAATCTTTATTCAGTTTTTATTTTTATTTTTGTTAACCTATATTCGGCAATATTGGAATCAATAAGAGGCATTAACAATTTATGATGGGGTGCTGTCTATCATATTTGTGCAATCTCACACTCAGTGTTTGGATGGACAGAGTAGACCTTGCTCTCAGTTTGAGCCCCAAACTTTAAAGCTGGCAGGTGTAGTAGATCCAAGATGTTCCCTGGAGAATGGTCCCTGAAGGAGGACATCGTCCACCTGATCTCCAGTCATTGGGGTATGCCAACAGTGGACCTGTATGTAACACACACAAAATGCAAAGTTCACCAGTTCTGTAGCAGGTATCCAGCTCAGAAAGCTGCAGCTCATGATGTGATCACCACCCTGCCTAGCCTACATGTTCCCTTTGGTTTCTCTTACCTTCTGAATGTAGCCCTAGATGGGCGTCCGCTGATCCTCAGACTTCTGGAGTGTCCTCAAATGCTCTGGTCTGCAAATCTGACCTTGACCAGGGAGCAAGTTTGGGAGGAACTGGTTGAGAATTTGAAAGTGGAAGGCAGCTTAGGTGAAAGTGATCATGAAATGCTAGCACTCATATTTCTAAGGAATGGTAGGAGGGAAAACAGCACAATAAAGATAATGGATTTTAAGAAGGCAGGCTGTATCCAACTCGGAGTTGGTAGGTAACATACCATGGAAAGCAAGTCTAAGGGGAAAAACAGTTCAAGAGGGTTGGTAGTTTTTCAAAGAGATATTATTAAGGGTACAAGAGCATAGGAAAGATAGGAAGTATGGCCGGAGACCACCCTGGCTTAACCAGGAGACCTTCAGTGATCTGAAACTCAAAAAAAGAGTCCTACAGAAGTGGAAACTAGGTCTAATTACAAAGGATGAATATAAACAAATAACACAAGTATGTCAGGACAAAATTAGAAAGGCCAAGGCACAAAATGAGACTATCTAGAAACATAAAGGGTAACAAGAAGTATTCTACAAATACATTAGAAGCAAGAGGTAGACCAAGGACAAGGTAGGCTGATTACTCAATGAGCGAGGGAAGACAATAACAGAAAATGTGGAAATGGCAGACGTGCTAAATGACCTGCCCCCTTTCCCCCCCCAAAAGGTTAGTAGCGAATTGATGTCTAATATAGCGAATGCCAGTGAAAATGAGATAGGATCAGAGGCTAAAATAGGGAAAGAACAAGTTAAAAATTACTTAGATGAGTTAGATGTCTTCAAGTCACCAGGACCTGATGAAATACATTCTAGAGTACTGACGGTGCTGACTGAGGAGATATCTGAGCTGTTAGCGATTATCTTTGAAAAGTCATGGAAGATGGGAGAGATTCCAGACGACCGGAAAAGGGCAAACATAGTGCCCATATGTAAAAAAGGGAAATAAGGACAACCTGGATAATTACAGTCCAGTCAGCTTAACTTCAGTACCTGGAAAGATAATGGAGCAATTAATTTAAGCAATCAGTTTGCAAACACCTAGAAGATAATAAGGTGATAAGTAACAGTCCCATGGATTTGTCAAGAACAAATCGTATCAAACCAACCTGATAACTTTTTTTGACAGGGTAACAAGCCCTGTGGATGGGGGGAAGTGGTAGATGTGGTATATCTTGACTTTAGTAAGCCTTTGGATACTGTCTCGCATGACCTTCTCATAAACAAACACAACCTAGATGGAGCTACTATAAGGTGGGTGCATAACTGGTTCACAAACCGTTCCCAGAGAGTAGTTATCGGTTCACAGTCAAGCTGGAATGGCATATTGAGTGGAGTCCCACAGAGATGAGTTCGGCATCCGGTTCGGTTCAATATCTTCAATGATTTAGATAATGGCATAGAGCAGTGGTTCTCAAACAGTGGATTGGGACCCCAAAGTGGATCGCAACCTCATTTCAATGGGGTCGCCAGGGCCACCATTAGACTTGCTGGGACCCGGGGCTCAAGCTGAAGCCTGAGTTCCATCCCCACCCGGGGCGACGGGGAGTGGGCTCTGCCCCACTCCCCTTCCCTGGGGCGGTGGGGCCTGGGCAGAGCACTCCCTCCCCCCCCCAGGTCATAAAGTAAATTTGTTGTCAGATGGGGGTTGTGGTTCAATGAAGTTTGAGAACCCCTGGCATAGAGAGTACACTTCTAAAGTTTGCGAACAACACCAAACTGGCAGGGGTCGCGAATGCTTTGGAGGATAGGATTAAAATTCAAAATGATCTGGGCAAACTTGAGAAATGGTCTGAAGTAAATAGGATGAATTTCAATAAGGACAAATGCAAAGTACTCCACTTAGGAAGGAACAGTCAGTTGCACACATACAAAATGGGAAATGATTGTCTAGGAAGGAATACTGGGGTCATAATGGATCACAAACTAAATATGAATGAACAGTACACTGTTGCAAAAAAAATCAACATCAATTTGGGATGTATTCGTAGGGGTGTTGTAAGCAAGACACAAGAAGAAATTCTCCTGCTCTACTCTGTGGTGATTAGACTCAGCTGGAGTATTGTGGCCAGTTCTGGAGGCCACATTTCAGGAAAGATGTGGACAAATTTGGAGAGAGTCCAGAGTAAAGCAACAAAAATGATTAAAGGTCTAGAAAACATGACCTATAAGGGAAGGTTGAAAAAATTGGGTTTGTTTAGTCTGAAGAAGAGAAGACTAAGAGGGGACACGATAACAGTTTTCAAGTACATGAAAGGTTATTACAAGGAGGAAGGAGAAAAAAATGTTCTCCTTAACCAATGAGGATAGGACAAGAAGCTTAAATTGTAGCAAGGACGGTTTAAGTTGGACATTCAGAAAAAAGCTGGGTGTTGGGGGGAGGTCAGGGCAGAGGGCTGGAGGGGGTGGGGATGCAGGGCAGAAGGCTGGGGGGTGTGTGGGGGTGCAGGGCAGAAGGCTGGGGTGCTCGGCTCGTGGGGGTGCTCCCAGCCCCCTGCCCTGAGTGGCTCAAGGCAGGGGGCTGGGAGGGATATGCCCTGTTCCACCCCCTTCCTCAAGGCCCGTCCCTACCTCTCTCTGCCTGCTCTGCGGAGCTGCGTGCACGCTGCCACTCGGCTCTGCTCTGCTCCCCCTCGCAAGGGCCCTTGCCGGCAGGGAGAGGGGGGAGGAGGAGGGGCCGGAATGCACCACGTTGTGGGAAGAAGCAGGGGAGCGGGGGGGGCTTGGCTGCCGCAGGATCAAGCTTCTGCCTCCTGCCCCCACAGGAGAGAGCGGTGGGCAGGGGGCTGAGTGGGGCGGGGGGCCAGGACCCCCCCCTCCCTCCACTGCTCTCCCCTGCAGGGGCAGGAGGCAGAAGCTTGGTCCTGCGGCAGCCAAGCTTCCCTCCTCCCCCTTCTTCCCCCAGCGTGCCGCTTTCCGGCCCCTCCGCCCCCCTCCTCCTCCTCTCACCGGGCAGGCAGCGTGCCACTCAAAATCGGCTCATGTGCCGTGTTTGGCACGCGTGCCGTAGGTTGCCGACCCCTGGTCTAGATAATACTTAGTCCTGCCATGAGTACTGGGATCTGGACGAGATGCCCTCAAGAGGTCTCTTCCAGTCCTATGATTCCCTATATGGGTGGAGTTTCCTAATCAGGGACCAGTTGGTGCTCTCTGTAGATGATGAATGAACAGAAGAGTAAATTATAACAATGTGGTTATACCACACCACTGGTAAGGCTTAATGTTTTACAGGCAGTTTCCATTATGCTACCATGTCAGGACAAGGGTAGTAGTGAACACCCTGAAAAGCTCAAGGTGCTCCCTAAAAAAACATTTAAATAGCATTTTCTTAATAATTTAATCTTTGGGACTGGGCTGGTGACATTTAATTATTTTCACCACTATTCCATGATTTGTGATGTCTCTGCAAGGCCAAAATCATGATTTTCCTTAAAATTGATGGTAAAATACTGTTCTGTCTACTCTCAGTGGAAGTAATTTATTGGTCAGTCTGGGAAAACACTCAGTGGCTGGGTGAGGGAGATTGATTTTTTGTTTTGTTTTTGTTATGCCACCCCCCTCTTTCAAGCAGAGAGAACTGTGTGGACAGACTCTTGCTCTTACACAGAGCCTATGGAATGAAAAATGAATGACATCTCCCTTGATTTCAGTCGGATTCCAGGCAGGCACAGGCATCTGTCTGCACAGTTCTCTTTGTAGGATGGAGGCCTGTATTTGCTGTTTCTAAGCACACTTCTTAGTGTATCATATTACAAGGAGCATCTCTCATTTCAGTCCTCTAGCATTTCTGTTGTCTCTGAAAATTATTTACACCAGAAATGCAGAATTGCTGAACTGAGATTATATTATTTATGCAGCAGGAGTGAGTCCCCAGCAGCATTTTAAGTTTTCTTCATGAATGTTTGTTCTTTGTCCCTCTTTGAGTCTTAGTTGAAGAATATTTAGATAAGTTAATGTATTCAAGTCAGCAGGCCTGATGAAATTCAAGGTACTTAAGGAAATATCTGAAGCAATCTTTCAACCGTTAGCAATTATCTTCAAGAACTCCAGGAGGATGGGTGAGGTCCCAGAGGTCTGAAGAAGGGCAAAGATAGTATTGGTCTTTAAAAATAGAACAAAGAGGACCCAGGGAGTTGTTATAGACTAGTCAGCCTAACTTTGACACCTGGAAAAATACTGGAACAAATTATTTAATCCTTAATTTGTATGCATCTAGAGTCATGGTTCCCAAACTTGTTCCGCCATTTGTGCAAGGAAAGCCCCTGGCGGGCTGGGCCGGTTTGTTTACCTGCCGTGTCTGCAGGTTTGGCCAATCGCGGCTCCCAGTGGCTGTGGTTTGCTGCTCCAGGCCAATGGGAGCTGCTGGAAGTGGCGGCCAGTACGTCCCTCAGCCCGCGCCACTTCCACTAGCTCCCATTGGCCTGGAGCAGTGAACCGTGGCCACTGGGAGCCGCGATCAGCCGAACCTGCGGACGCGGCAGGAAAACAGCCCGGCCTGCCAGGGGCTTTCCCTGCACAAGCGGCGGAACAAGTTTGGGAACCACTGGTCTAGAGGATAATAGGATTATAAGGAATAGCCATTGTGAATTTGTCAAGAACAAATCATGCGAAACCAACCTAATTTCCTTCTTTGACAAGGTTACTGGCCTAGTGGATAAGGGGGAAGCTGTAGATATGCTATATCTTGATTTTAATAAGGCTTTTGACACATTTCCACGTGATATTCTCATAAACAAACTAGGGAAACGTCACCCAGATGAAATTGCTGTAGGTGGCGCACAACGGATTGAAAGACCATACTTAGAGTAGTTATTAATGATTGGCTATCAAACTGGGAGGGCATATTTAGTGGGGTCAGAGAGCGGACAGTCCTGGGCCTGGTATTAATTCAGTATTTTCATTAGTGACTTGGATAATGGAGGCGAGATTATTCTTATAAAGCTTGCGATGATGCTAAATCAGGAGTGGTTGCAAGCACTTTTGAGGACAGGATTAGAATTCAAAACTATGGGGACAAATTAGAGAATTGTTCTGAAATTAACAAGATGATATTCAATAAAGGCAAGTGCAAGGTACTTCACTTAAGAAGGAAAAATCAAATGCACATCTACAAAATGGAGAATAACTGGGTAGGCAGTAGTATTGCTGAACAGGATCTGAGGGTTCTAGTGGATCGCAATTTGAATATGAGCCAACAATGTGATGCAGTTGTGAAAAAGGATATTATTATTAACAGGAGTGTCATATATAAGGCACAGGGTAATTGTCCCACTTCACTCGTCACTGGGGAGGCATCAGCTGGAATTCTGTGTCCAATTTTGGGTGCCATGCTTTTGGAAAGATGTGAATAAATTGGAGAGAGTCAAGAGGAGAGTTGAGTTTAATAAATAAATAAATAAATAAAAGGGTAAAAGGTTTAGAAAACCTGACCGGTGAGGAAAGGTTAAAATAACTAGGCATGTTATCCTTGAGAAAAGAAGATTGAAGTGGGACCTGATGATAGCTTTCAAATATGCTCAGGGCTATTATAAAGAGAACAGTGATCAGTTGTTCTTTATGTCCACTGAAGGAGGAGAAGTAGTAATGGGCTTAATCTGCATCAAGGGAGATTAGTTTAGATATTAGGAAAAACTTTTGAACTATAAAGGGTAATTAAACTCTGGAAGAGGCTTCCAAGGGAGGTCATAGAATTCCCATCATTGGAGGTTTTTAAGAACAGGTTAGAAAAACACCCGTCAGGGATGTTGCAGGTTTACTTGGTCCTGCCTAAATGCTGGGAGGCTGGATTTGATGGTCTCTCCAGGTCCCTTCCAGCCCTACATTTCTATGATTCAAGTCACACATTACATCTCACATTTGGGCCTCGGTTGGTTGAGAAGTATGCTTCCAAGTATAGTAGTTTCTAGACACTGTTAATAGTCAAAAGGACAATAGATATAGAGACATTTACATCTAGCTATTTTACCATTCAGGTACGAGGCTTCAGAACGACTCAAAAAGACGTAGGTTAGTTGACCTTGAAGCAGCTGAAAGGGATGAACAAAAGATGGAGGATTACGTTCTTTCCAGGAACCAGGAAACTGGGAGAGCTGTCACTCCTGCTCAGCCTGCAGCAGTGTTGTCCAGGTATGAAGGAAGTACATGATTTACACTTAGTTCTTTTCTATTTTCCTCTTGCTTTAAGTTAGCTGATTAGTAGAGCAGAAAGTTTTGATGAACTAAATGTAACTTTAATCCATAGAAGTCAAATCTTTGACCCCTGCACAAGCTAGAATAAACTGAATTTTGCAGATGATCTCTGCAGTAACCAAATGGCCTGAACCCTCACCACCCAGGCTGCAGAGCACTAACAGAACTGTATCACCTTGGCTACAGCCCCTGCACTTCCCCTTGGTAGAGGTTTTGGCCAGGGAATCTGTCTCATCAGACCTGTTGATCATGTCTTCAACCTTTCCCTGACCTGCCTCTAACCAGGGCCGGCTCCAGGCACCAGCCTGGCAAGCAGGTGCTTGGGGTGGCCGCTCCGGAGAGGGGCGGCATGTCCAGGTATTCAGCGGCAATTCGGCGGACGGTCCCTCACTCCTGCTCGGAGCGAAGGACCTCCCGCCGAATTGCCGCAACAGATCGCGGTCGCGGTCGTTTTTTTTGGCTGCTTGGGGCGGCCAAAACCCTGGAGCCGGCCCTGCCTCTAACCTTCCCTCTGAGGTGTCGCAATGAAATCTGCTGCAATGCATGTGCCGATGTGGAGTCTTTGCCCCACCTTTCACCATTCTGCTCCCCTTTTGTAGTGTAACTGTGGTAGTTTGGGCCCTCTGTGCCTGCAGAGAATGTGTGGAGAGGGCTCTCGTTCTCTGGGAGCACCTACAAGTGCTGCTTTCTAGTGGAGACATGCAAATGGAGTCTCCTGTTGGGGAAGCCTGGGCTATTCTTTGAATAGATGAATCACATGTGGTATAGCAATATAATTAACATCCCGCTCTCGGGGACAGAATGGCACGCTCAGGATCTGCTCACATTACCTCTCATTTGGCTTTAGGAAGAGTTTATGACTTGCCAGTAGACTAGACTGCCTTTTGTGGCTTGCAGTGCACAATTCATGTTATTGATAGCATATTAGCAAATGTTTACTGCCTAGATAGACCTGTAGAACCAGTAATAAGATGCACAAGTTTAATACATAAAAGTTTTTAAATGTGCTTTCCCCCCATCTTATCTGGCTTATGTTGCAACCTTAACTGTGTTTGAACCTTTATATTTATATATATATATATATATAATTATTTAAAAGTATGGGTATCTAGTCTCCTGTATAGCATTTTTGATTTAAACATGAATATGCTAGAATGTATTATGTGCTATGGCAGAATCGGCAACGCCTGTGTGAGTATGTGTGGAATGGAACATGTTTTGTTTTTTTTTCCCAATTAGTGAATTACCTGAACGAGAAGAAGGAGAAGGAGAAGAAACTCCAAACTTCAGTCATTGGGGACCATCCCGAATGTATGTTGATATAATTACATTCTTTCCTTTTGCTTAGGAAACATTTGATGCCTTGGGGGCTCCAGGAGTTATTACACTTCTTACTGTAGACTTTTCTTACACATGTGTGACTGTTTTCATGGCCTTTTATTTTAGAGTGCTCTAGAATAGTGTTAAGGTAGTTAGATGCTCTGGGCTTTATTAAATACTGTAAACGCTAACAGACGTTCAGTGGAGAAGGTTTATATATTCTGTGTATACGACTAATTTTAGAAAGCTGCCAGGTTTGTGTTGCAGTTGAGCTGAAAGTTCTCGTTCACCTCTTCGCTACTGGTTTGAAATGTTACACATCAGAATTCTGCTGTCAGGTACATGGGTTACTCTCCTAATCTTAGTGGCATAACTCTGAATTAACACAAAATTTGGTCCAATAGTGTTTGAATTTCAAACTACCGAAAAATATTTCTAATCTACATACTAGATAGCAAAGTGAAATAATTCCTTTGATATCTCTCTTTCCAGTCTGTGTATGTTGTATATCTTTCACAAAACAAAGGCCATCTGTCAGTTAAGGAGGCCTTGTCAAAGTTATTTCACTTTGTTTTGAGAGACAAGTTTGAAGAGGGAGTGGGGAAACAGAGATAAAGCAATTTAAAATACAATTGACAGTATTGTGTAATTCTGAACTATTTGCATAATGTTGTTGCATGACAACAGTTTTATTATCAGAACAGTTTATTTTATTTCTGACATTGAAATACGGTGGAAATTGTGAATACGTTAATATTTACCTTGAGAAAGGTAACTGTCATCCAGATAAATTTATATGCCATTTGATCAGATGAGTTTTCTCTGACAGAAAGAATTGGTTACTTTAGCTTCATTTTTATACCTTCTTAAACACATTGGCTGCCTGCAGTACAAAGGTCATGTAAAAAGGTGTGAATCAGGGTTAGGCATAAACAAACCTAAAACTTCAGCACAAGTAGGAGCCTATTATATATGACCTCTGATACATGGCAAACAACTTTAAGATATTTTCAGGAATCCTTTTTGACCTCTCACTAGTATGTTCAGCAACCTGAATATCAATTGATGTTTTCTGTATTGAAACACTTAATATTAACAAATTAGTATCGCCAGGTTGGTTCAAGCTGTTCTCAGTAGGAGCCGACCACTCTGGAATTTGATTTGAGTGATAGAACTCAACTGTGTTTATCTCGGTACCTATTTTTTACACAGACTTTCTCTGAAGGGAAAGGTCATAGGAGGGGAAGCAAGTTGGTTTGGTGGCAGAGTTTTGTTGTTATATTTGTTCACTGATGAGCTCACCTGGACTAGCAACAGGTGCTTCTTTTAAAGATTATTGCTAGTAAATTGATGAAACCTGAAAAACTATGTTATAGATTTTTGGAATATTAAATATTATATATTTAAATCTGTTAATAGTTATAAAATTATATGGTACTGCTTGCATTTTACAGTGTTGAAATCTTCAGAGAGCCTCACATGTCTCTTGGAATCAGTATTGTTGGTGGGCAAACTATTATAAAGCGCCTAAAGAATGGAGAGGAACTTAAAGGTATCTTTATCAAACAAGTCTTGGAAGACAGCCCAGCTGGAAGAACAAAAGCCCTAAAAACTGGGGATAAAATACTTGAGGTAAATGCAGATAAATTTCCTTTTCATGCTTTAAAAAGAGAGCATAGCTTCAGAGAGCTGTCTAGAAAAAGAAATGTGGAATTAAGCATTGAATATATTGTGAATGTGATTTTACTCCTCAGCGTGCATTGTTCTATCTCTTTTAAAAAGGTCTTGACTATCGATTGCTTCTGTTAACATCCTATTGTACTATTTCAGAGAAGTTAAATAAGCACTGATTTTAAAAGTGGTGTTTTATGAAATAAAACAAATAGAAATCCTGCTTTTATCACCATTTTTTATGAGCCATTCAATTGAAGAATGTACGTTATTCTGGAATAGTTGCATGATTTGAGTGGTTCGTTCTTCATGCAAAGTTTTGTGGCATTTTTAGAAGGTATTCAGTGTACAAGCTAGTTATATATTACTTGTGGAGTCCCTCATGTTAGCAGTTGCTTCGTTCTTTGAGAGGGGAGAGTAATTTTCATAGGTGCCATTATCACTGGACACCATGTTGCAATTTTTTGGATACCATGTTGTGGTTCTTCACTCTCCCCTGAAACTGCTGTGACAATGTGATTCACTAGGTCTGATATGCTGTCTTATAGCTAGGTGGAGCATTGTGGGGCTTTTTCTCTGTAGTCTTGCTAACCAGGACTGCTAATGGTCCCCTTTTGCCTTGGCCCTCTGGCCAGGTCATTTTTTGCCTCACCCCCTTCTGGGTAAAACACCGTTGTCTCCCAAGAGTCCCAGGACCTCACAACAGATTGACTGTCCGTATCCAGGCCCAAAAATCCTCCCGGCCCTCTGTCTGAGGACTTCCCACTAATCTTCCCAGTGAGGCTATAGAGGAGCCCTCTCCCTCCCTCTGCTCAGGGTTCCAGTCCAGGGACCCTTGTAACAAGCAGTTAAGGTCTGTCTGGTCAGATCTGTTGCTTGTTCCCTGGGCTACTTCCCACATTGGCTTGCCATCTCCACAGGGAACTCGTATTCTCAATGCAGTGTGGGCCCGGCCCCAGGGTTAAACTCTTAGTTCCAGTCCTCCAAAGCAATAAAGGAAATGCAATTAAATTAACAGGAATAAAGAGCAGCATCAGCTTCTCTTTCCTGTCAGGATCCTGGCCGTCTGTCCTATCGCTCTGAGATTGCAGGCAAACAAAGGTAACTTGACTCTCTGCTGTGCTCCTTTCTGGGAGCTGAGGATGAGAGGTCTGTCCACCTCTCTGCAGGCTGGGTCCCTCTGCAGTGGTGCCTGAGCCCAGTGCTGCCCTTTAACCCCTTCTTGCCTGCTTTGGGGTTTGTGTATCCCATGAGATCCCCCAGAATGAGTACTTCCACATATGATGTTCCGCTGTCAGAAAACTGACTGTCCTTTTTGTGTCTGCTGCCTTCCAGAAGTGATGTGCTTTGAGAGTTGCTTCAAAACATAACTAGCTTATGCTTAGGTAAATTGAGGATTCGTGTGATACCAAGCATTCTCTGATTTTTATCTGAAAGTAGAGTCTTTGGTAAAATACAGCATGTGCCTTTAATTGTGAGCCCCTGACAGGGCCGGCTCCAGGGTTTTGGCCGCCCCAAGCAGCCAAAACAAAACAAAAAAGCCGCGATCGCGATCTGCAGCAGCAATTCGGCGGGAGGTTCTTCACTCCCAGGCGGAGTGAGGGACCGTCTGCCGAATTGCCGCTGAATACCTGGACCTGCCGCCCCTCTCCGGAGCGGCCGTCCCAAGCACCTGCTTGAGAAGCTGGTGCCTGGAGCCGGCCCTGGCCCCTGAATACTATACCTCTGCCCTGCTTGTTCCTCAAAGTGTTGAAGAAATATACATTATGTAGTGTTTTCTTAAGTATTTTTCTATCCTATGAAACCTTTTGGTGACTTCCTCTGATGTGCTAAGCTTCACTGTCAATAAATGCATGTAAATCTCTTGTTGTAATTTATGAAAAAGACAGATTGCCTAATAATGAAGATACACTCTATTTGTTAGGTGTCTGGAGTAGACTTACAAAATGCCACGCATGAGGAAGCAGTGGAAGCTATCAAGAATGCAGGAAATCCTGTTGTTTTTGTTGTTCAGAGTTTGTCTAGTACCCCAAGAGTAAGTTACCCTTTTTTCCTTTCCTTTCTTTTTTCAAAACTTAATTCCTTTTTAATATGCCTTTTATTTGAAACATGGCCAAACTCCTTTCAGCAAGATTTGGTCATAACACAGTTTCCCTTGCATACTCTGACACAGTTTCCAGTCAGAGACCATATGGTTACTTCTTGGGACAGATTCTGGTCTAAATTACTCCAATATAAATTCAACTGACTGTGTTGACTCAGCAGCATTTACCCCACGGTAATTGAATTAGAATCAGCCCCCTTGTGTGTTACCTGGTATTCTAAAAATATTTCCTCTATTAGCCAACTTTTTTTAAAAACATAATGTAATGAAACCTGATTGTAGAATAGCATGCTCCATACAAACTGTGTCCCCAAAGGCTTAAAATACAATTACAAGTATGAACAATAATTATCCGAGATAGAGGAAAAACTAGGAAATACAGGCAAAAGAGAAAATGATCTTCCCATCTTCTGGGCAGTGAGAAGAGGCAACAATTATAGTCTACCATCCCAGAAGTTCATGTGATTCATGAGCAAATACAAAATATCCAATCAGGCAACTCCATGCCACCAAAAGGCTATGTAACAGAAGACCTAGTGCAGGGGTGGGCAAACTTTTTGGCCCAAGGGCCACATCTGGGTGGGGAAATTGTATGCAGGGCCATGAATGTAGGGCTGAGGCAGGGGGTTGGGGTGCGGGAGGTAGTGCAGGGTGTGGGAGGGAGTGCGATGTGCAGGAAGGAGTGCGATGTGCAGGAAGAGGCTCAGGGCAAGGGGTTGGGGTGCAGGAGGGGGCTCAGGGCAGGGGGTTGGGGTGAGGGATGCAGGAGGGGTTTGGGGTGCAGGCTTCAGTCTGGCGCTGCTTATTTTGAGCAGCTCTGGGGTGGCAGCAGTGCGCAGCGGGCCTAAGGCAGGATCCCTGCCTGCCTTGGCCCTGCGCTGCGCCCAAAAGTGGCCAGCATATCTGGCAGTAGCTCCTGGGCGTGGGCTGGGGCAGGTGGCTCCGCCGTGTGCTGCCCTCGCCTGTGGGTACCACCCCCAAAGCTCCCATTGGCTGGGAATGGGGAACTGCAGCCAATGGGAGCTGCAGGGGGCGGTGCCTGCAGGCGAGGGCAGTGCATGGAGCCCTCAGCCCCTCCCCTCCCCCAAGGGCTGCAGGGACGTGGTGCTGCGCGCTTCTGGGAGTGGCGAGGGGCCAGGGCAGGCAGGGAGCCTGCCTTAACCCTGCTGCGCCATGGGGCTGGCAATCCCACGGGCCAGATTGAAAGCACTGACTGGCCGGATTCGGCCTGTGAGTCGTAGTTTGCCCTCCCCTGACATAGTGAGTCTCTCTGACAACTCATTAACCACACCTTACACAATCTGGCACCAAAATGTCCACTCCTTCTCCACAGCCCCAAAGAATCTCTGTTCTGTGATGACTTGCAGCAATCAAAGTGAGAAAGGAGAATGTCCAAGCAGTGGTGGCAGAAAGCATAGACACCATACAATGGGCATAGCTGTGATAATACAATAACTTCTGTCTATATATTTGACCCCTTCTGAGAAGCATGTCAGGAAAATTGAGTCTTTTCCTGAGACTCTTGTCCTTACCCTTCTAGGCCACTGAAAATGGCCTCTGAGAAGGCATAAAGATAATCGGGGACCCTTAGTAACTTTGGGTGCCTCTGTTTTTGAGTGCTGAGGCTTATACACCCAGAATCTGACTTTTAGCATTGCTGAGCACTGGCAGCTCCCATTGACTAGTGGGAATTGTGGAAGCTCAGCACCCCCGAATATCAGGTTCTTGGTCAAAGGTGAAGCACACAAACTTAGAATTTATTACGGAGGTTGGAGGGGAAGTAAATGATCACAGGTCACATAGCAAGTCAGCAGCAGAGCTGGGAATGGGACTCGAAACTCCTTATTTCCTTTTGCATGGCCTAACCACGCTGCCTCACCAGTACTGAAGAAGATGGAAGCACATTGCCACTTCAAATAGCTGGACATGTACTATCTGTAGTAGTTAAACTTACTGTGGTATTAGCAATATTTCCCATTCTCATTATAGGGAATGCCACAAATATGGTATAGGTACACACCATGGTGCTTAGACATCCATTTGTTTCAGTGGTGTCAACTGCACCTTACGTTGGTATCTCTACTACCAATAGCTGGGGTCTCAGAGGTGTTTTGTTTTGAATTTAAGATAGTATGGTTTATACATAAGGGAGTTCCTTCCCTGCCAGGTGTTCAAAACACTCTGATATTTGTTTCAGAGTAGCAGCCGTGTTAGTCTGTATCCGCAAAAAGAACAGGAGTACTTGTGGCACCTTAGAGACTAACAAATTTGTTAGTCTCTAAGGTGCCACAAGTACTTCTGATATTTGTGCTGCTCTGCTTTTAGGAGTAATTTCTACTGCCTGCTTTGGGATGGTACACCCATGTTTCATACCAATCATTCTGTAAAGATATTCTATAGCATTCATATTCCTGTCTCATTTTTAACTGTTGCTATGGTGAAATACTATTCTCATGTTGTTTTGAATATTGTACCATTATGCACCTTATTGAGGGACCAAGTGTTCCAAATTACATTAGTCAACAAACATTTTACAATATATAGTATAACATGGTACTCTCTTGCTTGAGGCATTCCATGTAAAGGGCATTAATCAACTTGGAGTAATACAAGACCAGCCCCTTATATTTCATTAAGGGTCCTTACAATATACTGAAGAATATATAATGAGAAGAACGAGAGAGAGAGAGATTCAAATTCCAGCCTAAATAGTTAAAGATTGGCAAAGTTTTATAAGCAACCGAAAACAGGGTCTTCTAAGGGGAAGTATTTGGCAGCCTTAAGAATGGTGGAGGGGATATGAGGGGGGAGCCGATAGCCTCCTCCCACATTTTTAAGGTTGCCCAATACTTGTTCTTAGAAGACCCTGTTTTCGGTTGCTTATAACTTTTGCTAAACTTAACTCCTTAGGCTGAATTGTTCCATGCCAGGTGTCTGTGCCAGGCTGATTTTTTTTTTTTCATGGTGGTGGTGAATTTTAGCCAAAATGGCTCAGCCATTCTGAGAATGCGGATAAGAAAAAGGAGCTGGAGGCTAAGGGGTAAAGTTCTGAGATTAGATGTGGAGCTGAGAGAGAGGCTGGGACTGGGCGCTGGTGGAGACTGGGCGCCTGGAGGCCTGGGAATGGGAAAAGAGAGAGACAGTCAATGAGGAACAAGGTGCGTATGGAGGACTGGGACTGGCTGTGCAGGGAGATTGGTAGGACTGGGCACATTAGGGGAGGGAGGACACTGGGACAGGGAGTCTGTAGAGGGATACTAGGAACTGGCAGGGCAAGGAGACTGAGGCTGGGATGAGACGATTGAGGAGTGGAGACTGGAACTGGCAAGGGTGAAGAGAAAGGGACTGGGACAAGAAGTCACAGGTGGAGAAGACAGGATTGGAACAAGGATGGGTTGGACAGGACAGGGCAGAAAGAGGCAAACTTGGGGGTAATGGGCAGAAAATACTGAGCACACTCCCCTCTAGAAAGAGTCATGAGTCTCACCATTCCTCTGCTATCAACAAATACCTGTGGAAACTCCCTGGCAGAGTGTCTCATCCCACTCTAGAGCTGGTCTACATGCAGATTGACAACTTATTACTGTTGTTAGTTACTTCATTAGCTGAAGTGGCAGAGTTCAGTGTGGTGAATCTGATGGTTCAAACCTGCTGATGATCCATGTGGATGTCAATATGATGCCACGTGATGGAATTTGTTTTTTAAATTTGATTAAAAAAAAAAAACCTAAGAAACTATATATATATATATATATATATTCTTAGGTTTTTTTTTTTAATATATATATATATTATATACACACACACACACACACACACACACAAATAAATTATGTTAAGGGAAGATTATTAATATTGCAAACTCAAGTTCTCAAAAGTTAGAAAGTGCAATCTTAATTTGTGCATATGCATCATGATACAGTCTTTAAATGA